GTCATCAGCATAACAGTTATATGAAAAGCTATGTTTCTGAATGACAGAACCTAGTGATGCCATGTAGACAGAGAAGAGAAGAGGTCCAAGAACTGAGCCCTGAGGCACCCCAGTAGTTAGATGTTGCGACTTGGACACCTCGCCTCTCCAAGATACCTTGAAGGACCTATCGGAGAGGTAAGACTCAAACCACTAGAGTGCAGTTCCTTAGATGGTTCCTTTTGCCAATAGGGTTGACAGGAGGATCTGGTGGTTAACCGTGTCAAAAGCAGCGGATAGATCTAGCAAGTTAAGTATTGAAGATTTGGAATCCGCTCTTGCCAGTCTTAGGGCTTCAACAACTGAGAGCAAGGCAGTCTCAGTTGAATGTCAACTTCTGAAACCAGACTGGTTTATACATTTGTGTGTGTGTGTGTGTATATATAGATATAAAGATAGATATACACACACACGTTTGTGTGGTTGTGCATGTGTGTCTATTTCTCTCTTTATATTTGTATCTGCATAGTTGTTAGCTATTAATAAAATTTGCAACATTATACACAATGTAGTAAGACATACCACTTTTATTAAATGCACAGTATTACAAGGAACATTTCCACTGACTGCAGAGAAGCTTCTCACAGGATGCACAAGCATAGAGTACTGACACCTAAAGCCGTGAGAGATTGAGTCTCCCGGGAGCACACGCTCACACACACACATTCACTCACAACCAGTGATTGGCTGCAATAGTCCAGCCTGGACAGAACAAGAGCTTGAACAAGGAGTTGTGAAGCATGTTCTGAAAGAAAGGGCCTGATCTTCCTGATGTTGAATAAAGCAATCTGCAGGACCGGGTAGTTTAAGCAATGTGGTCTTGAGAAAGTCAGCTGATCATCAATCACAACTTCAAGGTTTCTGGCAGTTTTTGAAGGAGTTATGGTTGATGTGCCTAACTGGATGGTGAAATTGTGATCAAGTGATGGGTTTGTTAGAACCACAAGCAGTTCTGTCTAGGCAAGGTTGAGTTTAAGGTGATGGTCCTTCATCCAGCAATAAATGTCTGTTAGACATGCTGAGATGCGAGCAGCTATCGTCAGATCATCAGGATGGAATGAGAGGTAGAGTTGTGTGTCATCAGCATAACAGTTATATGAAAAGCTATGTTTCTGAATGACAGAACCTAGTGATGCCATGTAGACAGAGAAGAGAAGTGGTTCAAGTACTGAGCCCTGAGGCACCCCAGTAGTTAGATGTTGCGACTTGGACACCTCGCCTCTCCAAGATACCTTGAAGGACCTATCGGAGAGGTAAGACTCAAACCACTAGAGTGCAGTTCCTTAGATGGTTCCTTTTGCCAATAGGGTTGACAGGAGGATCTGGTGGTTAACCGTGTCAAAAGCAGCGGATAGATCTAGCAAGTTAAGTATTGAAGATTTGGAATCCGCTCTTGCCAGTCTTAGGGCTTCAACAACTGAGAGCAAGGCAGTCTCAGTTGAATGTCAACTTCTGAAACCAGACTGGTTTATACATTTGTGTGTGTGTGTGTGTGTGTGTGTGTGTGTGTATATAGATATAAAGATAGATATACACACACACACACACATGTTTGTGTGGTTGTGCATGTGTGTCTATTTCTCTCTTTATATTTGTATCTGCATAGTTGTTAGTTATTAATAAAATTTGCAACATTATACACAATGTAGTAAGACATACCACTTTTATTAAATGCACAGTATTACAAGGAACATTTCCACTGACTGCAGAGAAGCTTCTCACAGGATGCACAAGCATAGAGTACTGACACCTAAAGCCGTGAGAGATTGAGTCTCCCGGGAGCACACGCTCACACACACACATTCACTCACAACCAGTGATCCAGCTAAACAAATAAAAGAAATGGAAACACATGTTTAATTCCAGTTGCCTAAATGGGTGCATTTCACAAAGAAATGTCCAGGATATATTTTATCCCAATATATATATATATATATATAAAGCTTAATTTACCTTAACTTAGGCTTATTATCTTTTCATGTATTGTTTCTCTTTTGGGCTGACCGGGACATTTCTCGACACTTTAATTGAGATTCACCCGACAGAGCATAAAATCTTGGCTTACAAAATAATGCATAAACAGTGTTCCAGTACTCGGTCACAGTTCTTCATTCATATACAATGTTAAGAGCTTTCTAGAAATCAAATGAGGATGGGGGTTCTCTTGGCTCTTTCCCCCTGGACGTGAATCAACCCTCAATTTAAAAAAAAAGGGTGCAGTAAACATCAGTAACATCAAATTGTTTACTACACGGGGGAAAAGGCTAGATGATCAATTACAGATATTTAAAAAAAAAATCTAATCGTACTTTTATTATGAACAACCACAGGGGGAAAAAAATTATACTTTGTCACGCAAAATAAACTGTATTTACACTCACATATTGCCGGAGGCCCATTAGACATGTTTTTCTTCCCTTTACAATGTCACACATTTGACGTGGTGCCTGTTTGAAACAGAATATATAGAGAGAACATACTATTTATATAGACAACTATTAGAACTCTACAGAATGGATTATAAAGTACAGGCTGGCCGGCTATTAGAACACACAGAATCTGTATAGCAAAAAAAATATATAAGAAAATGCCATCTTTGTTCAATAAAGTCTTCACATAGTCAGTCTGCCACAACACAAGAAAAATTGTTTAGCGTAACTGACTGAATACATTTCTTTGATATCTGTAACATTTGCAAATAATCAGATTCAATGTAAATAACCTCTTTCAGTGCATTTTCTTTTTTTCTTTCTTTTTTTTTTTTGCAGTGCTTACAATTGTAGGGTGAAAACTACAAAAATATGAGCAGTACATCTATAAAGAAAGTGCAAAGCTCTAAGAGGTCATAAGTCACTGCTCAAAAAGATCATGAGCATAATGACCGACACTTGACTCGATTGGACGCTGTTCGACAACTCATGATGTCAGGTAAAGTCGGCTGTTAAAAGTAGGTCCTGCCAATGTACTGTTTGGAAAGAATTTGACATCAGTGTACAAAGAATGATTGATCCTGCTCATGTATATTTACAGTCTAATTGCATATATACAGACGCTTTCAAAGCAGCACATCTCTGGTACTTCACACCCCGAAGAATCCGTCAGTCGGTGCTAAATGTGTTGCTGGGGTCCACGAGGAGCCCCGTCGATCGGAATTGAGAAAAAAAACATTTACTCCGGCAGAGGAGGACAAGTCGAATACTGTAGCCCTGGAGTTAGTCAACAGTAATGATAGTCAGGTTGACGACATTTCGTTTTGACCGGTCTGGTTTTACAGATATAACTGAATTGAATATGTACTGCGTGTAATATTCAAGTAAGCCCTAAGTATGAACAACAGTAATTGTGATGCTTGGTCAGCAAACAACACTATAGAAATTATTACAGTGGATTTAGAAAGTATTCAGACTCCTTAATTTCTTCATGTTTGTAAAAATGACTGGATTTCACCTGTGAAAATTTGCGGAAAGGTAATTGTGACCTCACCTTCATAATAAAATGCTTATTTTTCACCTCACCAATCTAAACTCCTTACCACATAACAGAACCACCACGTGGGTTGTGCAAAATATTTTGTTTTGACCGGTCTGGTTTTACAGATATAACTGAATTGAATATGTACTGCGTGTAATATTCAAGTAAGCCCTAAGTATGAACAACAGTAATTGTGATGCTTGGTCAGCAAACAACACTATAGAAATTATTACAGTGGATTTAGAAAGTATTTAGACTCCTTAATTTCTTCATGTTTGTAAAAATGACTGGATTTCACCTGTGAAAATTTGCGGAAAGGTAATTGTGACCTCACCTTCATAATAAACTGCTTATTTTTCACCTCACCAATCTAAACTCCTTACCACATAACAGAACCACCACGTGGGTTGTGCAAAATATTTAAGGGCCTTGCTCTTTCATAACGAAATGGCTGTTTAGAATGAAGAAAGTGAAGGCCAATTAATTGATCAACCGCTGATTTACTTACTATTTTTGTATATCCGCAGACAAAGGTAGACTACATGCTAGTTGGCCGTTGATTGTAGTCTTTGTAGTGTGTTCAAATGCAACTTTGGCCTAAACGCAAGCGGCACGAGGCAACAACAGTCGCTTTCATCCACTTTTACATCGGTTTAGTGCAGTGGTTCCCAACCCTGGTCCTGGAGGCACCCCAACACTGCACGTTTTGCATGTCTCCTTAATCAAACACACCTGATTCAGGTCATCAGCTCATTAGTAGAGACTCCAAGACCTGAAATTGGTGTGTCAGAGAAAGGAGACATGCAAAATGTGCAGTGTTGGGGTGCCTCCAGGACCAGGGTTGGAAACCACTGGTTTAGTGCAGGGGTGGGCAAACTTGGCCCTTCCAGGCCACTTTCCTTCAGAGGTTAGCTCCAACTCTAATCAAACACACCTGAACCAGCTAATCATTGTCTTCAAGACTACTAGAAGGTTACAGGCAGGTGAATCATATCAGGGTTGGATCAAATCTCTGCAGGAAAGTGGCCTGGAAGGGCCAAGTTTGCCCATCACTGGTTTAGGGTGTAAATCATGCTCCATAATGAAGCAAAAACCAAATTTGTGAACAGAAATAACACATCGACTTAATTATTCACATTCTTTAAGTCGTGTCAGACAGGACAATGACTCTAAGCACTCAACCAAGATAATGCAGGAAATGGTTAAGCGACGACTCTATGAATATTCTCAAGTGACCAAGCCAGAGCTCAGGCTTGTACCCAAACATAAAAATCTTTGTCCACCAATGGTTCTCATCCAACCTGACAGATTGAAAGGATCTGCAGGGAAGAATGGCAGATAATCCCCATATTAGGTCACAAAGCTTGCTACACTGTGTCCAAAAAGTGAGTTAAGGGTTTGAATACTTTATTGAGATATTTGTTTTTTTTTATAAATTTGCAGTTTTCACAGATTTGTTTTTGCTTTGTCATGGTGTAAGGAGAGTAGACTGATGTGGAAAAAGCTTAATTTTATCATAGGGCTACAACACAAAATGTGACAAAAATGAAGGGATCTGAATACTGTCTGAATGCACTGTATAGTGTAATGACAATTTTATTTGTCATTCAGTCCTTTGTAGTCTATTTAAACCTGTTGGTTGTCAGTCGTCCTCCTCTGGTAACTTGTTTAGTGGGGTTGAAACACAGGTTGAATCTGGACGGTCCCTTCATAGGGTCTTCCTGTCGTGACCTCAGGGACAGTCCGACTCGTTCATTCTCACATGAACATTCACTTCACAGTGCCCATCGCTTTGAAACGGCCCACAATACATCGAAAACAAATCGATCATAGATTATCACATACACATATTATTTAGGAGTTATTTCGCAGTTGATACATAAACAGATAATAATGAATAATCCGAGAGCAATCAACTCCAACTGATCAGGCAGGTCTGTTGTGTTATGAACAACATCTATGGATATACTCCTCAGGAACAGGTCTGAAAGAAATCTTCAGTCTTCGCAAAGGCAAAGTCCATCAAATTTCAACATGATGACGATTAAGGGTGCCTACACATTAGTTCACGCTACGTCGGAGAATGCTGGGAATTTGTTGATTTCGATGATCGGTTCTGTGACCAAAAGTGGAGGGAATTTGTACTTTGGCTGTAATGCACGGTCGCAGGGATCTGTTGACTACTGAGAATCCCAGGGAGGCGGATCCAATTGTGCTTTCAGAAATCCAATTGGCTGTATTTCTGCTTTATTTCAAACAGCCCTGGCTCTTTCCATCCATCCATAATCCAAAACCGCTTGTCCGATGTAGGGTCGCAGGGATGCTGGAAAGGCAGGGAAATATCCAGGATGAATGGCTCTTTCCACACCCTCAGAAACACAATCTTGCAGATTTCTACCCATCAAGCCTTCCGTCAAAATGTTTTTTAGTGTGTAAGCACCATAACGTAAAAAAAATGAGACTGTTACCATTGACACAAGAACAGCATCTTCCCATTGTTCTTCGAACCTCAGTTAGAGAGACAAAGTGCCCTTTGATATTCCTTCTATGGCTGGGGAGCCAAACAAAGTCTGAGGAAATACCTAAGTGCCACTGCTGGTGACTTTGTCTCTGTGATCACTCCAAACACTCTGTCCAACCTCAAGCCTCTTCCGAAGAAAAAAAACAAAAACTGGAGGCGTCTTTGTCGCTGTGCTTCTATAACGAAGTTCGCGCTGAGTAAGATGGGGCGCACAGAGATGTCCAAAAACGCCTTTCCTCGACCTCAGCATTATAGACATCAAAACTTGGCACAGAAAAGTCTAAAATTAGATCAGATGTGTTAAAAAAAAACTTCAAATGAAACATGAATCTGGCAGTTTCCATGATTGTTACTCGATAGTTTGCGGTATGAATAGTATTGCGATCTGCGTAAAGTCTGCCAGAATGACGCCAGGGCGTTGACAGCGTTGTGCTAATGACTGGGTCCTCATCAAGTCTGAATTTTGTCCATCTCGATAAACAAAATGGTAAGAGAAAAACAAATATAAACTTCCCTAAACCAAATTACCTTTTTAAAAAAGGTTGTTAAACAAAAGGTCTGCATTGTCTTTGACGCATATTTACAACAATCAGATGTTTCTGTTTGTAGACTATTTGGGTTTTTTAGAAAACATATTGATGCACGATAGATGGACATGTCCAGATGTGTGAAAACTCAAAGCAATGCACACAGTCAACTTTAAGGCCTTTTAGTCCATGTGGTTAGAGTGCTGAAGCACAAGCCATTTTTATGAACACACACACACAGAGACGCACCCACATCTATATTCAATCAACTCATCCTAATCGAAACCATCCCTAACTCCTTTTATACCACACATTCACACACACTTTTTCTTACTAACAATTACACACCCATACTGGCAAACGGATCAGCCCAGGATGTCCAAGTAAACAGGCGAGGCCTTGGCCAGGCTCTGGAGCAGGTTGTGGATTTCTTTGATGTTGAGTCTCATGTAGGGCTCCCTCTGCCAGCAGCCCAGCATCAGGTCATACACCTCTTTGGGGCAAGTACGAGGTCTCTGCAACACCCGACCCTGTGTGATACACTCGATCACCTGCAGGGGGCAGCACAAACATGGTCCAGAACTACAACTGAACGCAGGCTCCACTAAGGGTGCATCAGTCTGCCTAGAAACTAGTCTGTCATTTTTACAAGGTACAGTGATACAGTGAGTGCTTTTGAGGACGAACTAATCACTCTGTGAGTAACTGGTATATATTACTTGAGGACTTCCATTCCTACTTGAGATACACGTTGGGTATGACTGGTTATGACTGATGTGTCTTACCTCGTTGTTTGAAAGCTGGTACCAGGGTTGCTTGCCGTATGTGAATATTTCCCAGAGGACCACACCCAAACTCCACACGTCACTCTCTGTGGTGAATCTCCTGTACATGATGCTCTCTGGGGGCATCCAGCGGATGGGCAGCATGGTGTGACCACCCACCTGAGATAAGAGATACAGATTAACAGTGACTGGTAGAAGCACATGCACTTAATAAATCCATCTCCTATCCTTTAAATTTTAGAGTCTCCATAATAAGTAAAGTAAACTAAATAATTATTAGGGATGGACTATATATCCGCACCATGTTATCTGCTAATACTGTATTAGATTGAGTTTTTTCTTTAAGTGTACCTGTATTTTGTTGATATTTCATATTTAATTGTGCAAGCTAACTTCGCCTATTTATACATTTAGATCACTTCTGCCATTCTCTAACACTCAAAATTGATTTTTAAAAACAAAATTATTATTTAATAACATTGTTAAATATAATCTTTAACAAATTTCGAAATTAATATGCATTTTTTTTATACTGTACATCACTTGTAGCATTTCAGATGGTTGATTTATACAAGGAATATTGGTAGCACTTTTTCTATTCATCTAAAGGCTAATCCACACCATACCAAGAGACATAAACCAATGTCCAGATGACAGTATGCCACTTCTCAGACATTCCAAGACCCTACAAATGCAGATTCCAACATGTTTAATCTGTGAAAACCAGCACTGATGAATGGCAACAGACAGGGCTAACACACATATCTGGCTAAACCCAAAGACAGTCAGCACAGTGTGAATTAGCCTGAACAATCCACATTTTTTTTCACAAAAATATTAAGCAGCATAACTGGGACTCGGCATATTAAAATGATTTCTGAAGGACAATGTAACACTGAAAGCTGGAGTAATGGATGCTGAAAATTCTGCTTTGCCATAACAGGAATAAATTACATTTTAAAATATATTAAAATAGAAAATGTTTTAAAGTTGTAATAATATTTCTCAATATTACTGTTTTACTGTATTTTTGATCAAATAAATGCAGCCTTGGTGAGCATAAAAACTTCTTTCAAAAACATTTTGAACAGAAGTGTACATACTGTGTACTTACTAGAGGAATCACATAAGTAGGTTACTAGTCTTGAACCAATCCTTTATCCCAAGTAGTTACTTTACTCAATACACATACTGTAAAATAAAGTGCAACCACAATATTTCCCCCAAAAAATTAAAATTGTCAAATGTAAATCCTCTTGTGCTGTTTCAAACCAAGTTGTGTTCTAAATACCAAGTCTTCTGAACCCATAGAATAGCTTTGCAAGGAACAGAAGGAATTCATTGTTAATCTTCCTCTCTATCTCAGCTCTCAAGTGCCAGATGCCATTGGTCCTTGCAGCAGGACTGAATGTGCAAAAGTGTAAATGAGACTGAAAAGGGGATAATTTTCTATAATTCTTTCTTATGCAAAGCTACTGTATGGCTTCAGAAGCCTTAGAATATGTAATCTTCCTGTGCTAAAGTTTATTAAACAGCACAAAGAACGTTCCACCTATTCAAGACCAAAAGAATAGAAATTGTGATACTGAAAATCTCTGTATCAATCTTGTTTAAATGTGAGACACTTCAGATTGAGCATATGGGTCTTTTATAGCATAAAACTGTACGTAAAACCACTGCAGTGTTTTGCCACAATACGTTGTTTATTGCAAAACTTTGACCTCATTACCATGACATTGCATTGCAGGATTCCTAGTGATCATTCAATGACAAAATCCTGTGTTTTCTATTGTTATACGACAGAGGGAGCTGATATTCCTTCATCTCACACGCACACGGCTGCTGACACAGCAGAGTGTTTCCGGCTGTGTTGGCAGGATGCAGGTTTGGGAGAGCCCTTGAGTGTCAGATGGTCTGGGCTTTTTCTGGAAGAACTCACTGTGAAGAACTGTTGGTTTTTGAGGCACTTTCATATTTACAGTATTTAATCAGCTGTTCAGATGCATACATTTAAATAGTCATTAGTCATAATAACCCATAATAATGAAAGACAAAACAACAGTATATCGTCATATTATCCATTGTGGACATACACAAACTGCATTTTGCTTTTTTGTGTTCATCCTTTCCATATGAATTTGTCAGATTCAAAAGAGGTTCAACTGATGGAGGTCACAGATAACTTTTCATTTCTTTCTTTCTGAATTCTGAAAAAGTCAGGAAACGGAAAGGAGAGGGCTGGGATCAGGAAATGACCCACGCCAGAACTAACCTTAGATTAAACAAGTGCTACCAGAGAATCTCTGACAGTTGGCTGAACTGCTGAGAAGCAGAATGTGAGGAGTGCAACACTGTAGTTTGTGGCATTTTCAAAACAATGCTCTGTTTGAGCGGCGCTGACTTTGACTGCTTAATATGCTCATGTTTGCATTCACATTTGGGAGTGGGAATGTTCAAGCAAGAATCTGACATGGCCCTGTGGATTATTTTCTGTGGTTTCTCTGAGATTTCCTGTGTTCACACGCTTCAGTGGCTTGTTTGAGCAACCAATGAAAATATACCATACATATCTGTAATCTTTTCTGATTTGATTCTGAACGCATAAAGCTGTAGTGTGTATCTTTTTGTGCTAGCAGTCAGTTGCAACAAATGCAACTGCAATATGTTTATTTTAGCAGCATGACACTAGAACATTATCTATATTAGAAAACAATCTTTCCTTTGGCATTTCTGTTTGGTGTCGCACAGAAATGAAACACTGCCACTTTAAGTAATGCAACATCACAAATAGCAGATTTTCTTCCTGTAAGAGGTAAGTGAAGAAAAACGTAATATATTTTAATTTACTAAGAGAGAATAGTTAATATCCATATTGATAAACAACAAATGCAATAAAAGCCTTGCAGTACCTATACATGAAGTATTTATTTAATTTTTAATCTAAGCTGTAAACACGTTCAGGATGTTGGGAGATGTATTATGTAAAATGTAAGTTTAAGATACCAAGTTAAAATTTAAGAACTAACCATTGAAGTATTCATATTGGTCAATAATCTCTGTGTATATGGTGGATAATGTTGCCATGATGTTTTTTAAAGGAGTTTGTCATCTATATTTCGTATCATATCATTGTTAGATTACTGTAATTTAAATAAAATCATATATAATGCAGTTACGCATTCAGGTTTCAAACGAAATAAGACCTTTGTAGTAGATTTTGGGTTCTTTGGACCAAAAGGACCACAGTGATATGGAGATTTCCAAGGTGACCCACACTTACCCTATAGTAGTCGGTGCTGTACACATCTCTGGACATGCCGAAGTCTCCTATCTTGACAAGCAGGTTCTCTCCCACCAGGCAGTTGCGTGTGGCCAGGTCTCTGTGCACGAAATGCTGTGAAGCTAGATACACCATGCCTGCTGCTATCTGCTGGGCAATGTGCAGCATCTGAGGCTGAGTTAACTCCACCTGCAAACTCTGTTGTCCATCTGCCATCAGCACTGCATCTGGTCCATGAGCCCTGTAAGACAGAGTATGAGAATAGCATGTGCATGACTGAACTAAACTGGGGGTCAGAAAGTGGACAACATACAGACACGTTTTGCTTAGACTTTACAGATCAAATGAACAATTTATTTATTGAAATAATCCATGCAGGCTTTTATAAAATAATGAGCTTTACAATAAAATGCTGTAGACACATTTTTTGCTTTCTTTAAAAACCTTTATGAAATTCTTTCTTCTGCAGAACACAAAAGACAATATTTTGAAGACATTTTGAAAAATGTCACACAGGTCTGGAACAACATAAGGGCAAATGATAGCAGTTTTCATTTTAGGGTGAAACATCATTGTTGGGTGGGTGGGTGTGATAAACACTCTCCTGCAAACCTGAGAAACTTGTTGAGGTCTCCATGTTTCATGTACTCAAACACCATAATGAGAGGGTCGCTTTCTACACACACGCCATAAAACTTGACTATGTGCTCATGCTGCAGGTTGGTCAGGAGCTCTGCCTCTCGGTGAAAATCTGCTCGTCCACTTTCACTGGCTTCCTTCAGAGTCTGGGAGATAAGAAAGTTTGATCTTTTATTATAGAAATACCTACGGTAAAGCCTCATTATGTAGCCACAACCTGAAATGTGCAGAATTTGTGCAGAATCAATGTTTTGTTGTGTATACCATACCTTAACAGCCACCAAAATCTTCTCTTGGTCAGGAGACAAGTTGTAGCATTCAGCTAAGAACACTTTCCCAAAAGCCCCTTCTCCAAGCTCCCTCTTCAGCAGAATGTTGTGACGTTTTATGTGTTGGACGACTGCAAAACAAGGAACACGCATATTTAAAACTAGATTTCTCACAATTTCTGAAAGCATTTGAGTGGTTTCACTTAGTGGTCACTAAGGTGTACTGAGTGAACTATTGATTGATTGAACATAAGAAAGAAACTTATAGAGGTTTGGAACAACATGAGGGTGAGTAAACGATGGCAACATTTTCATTCTTAGGTGAACTATTCCTTTAATTGCAGTCTGCACTTATTGGCCAGTGTTTTTTTAGTATTATTGATATACAATTATACTTTTTGTTAAAAATTTTTAATTAGAATTAATTAAGAGTTTTTTTTCTTTTTTTTCCATTGTTAAAGTGTTAGTAATTTAGTTGTGTGTATATATATATACTTTCAAACAAAATTTCAACTTTTGAAAATTATATTGAAATAATGTTTTGTATTTTTTTCCATTGTTGTTTTTAAAAGTATCTTTTTGATTCTTTAAAAAAATTAAAGTTAAAAAACTATTTATTTTATATTTCCTTGGTAAATTATGAAACTTTATGTAAAAAAAAATGTGTCCCGCATTTTTATGTCACTACCAAGACAAGTGTATGTTTTAGTCTAAGAGTGATTTTAACTACACCCCTAAATTTATGATCAGGAAATAATCCTGTGTCCCCCTCTCTCATAGCTACAATGTGTGAGTAGATAGGTCCCATCATTTGGAGGTAAATGTGTTCAAAAGTCTGAAAAATCTGTGTGTAACTTCCGAACACCTTTTTCTGTAATTAAGCACACTTTTTTGGGAGTTATTCCATAACATTTAGTTTTTATATGTGTACCACTGTTTAGAACTGTGCTAGTTAACCATATATCCATTTTGGGTGTTATCCCATAAAACTGTCACTACCGAAACAGTCACGACCAAAACATGTCATCATTTCGGTAGTGACAAAAGGGAACACATAATCTTATATTTGGGGGAAATAAACAAAATTTTTGTACAGTTATGCAAAATTTTTGTATTTTAGTATTTTTTGTAGTGTTTTAGTATGCAAGTTAAAATTCTGTAATGTGATGTAGTCACTACCAAAGCATTACTGTGACTGTCACTACCGAAAATATGCAGTCACTACCGAAACATGGGATTTTTGGTCAAAAATAAAGTATACTGAATTTTCAGCTAAGATGTTTTGATAGTTTTTGGTTCAATGTATATTCAAACTAATGAATCCTTAACTTTGAAATCAGTATGATCACTTTTCAGACTTTTTGCCTTTTACAAAGAAAAATTGGATACAAAATACAACAAATCTCATAAATTACAGTTGAAATATTGTTAAAAATTGTATTGTCATTGAGTTACCTCTAATATATATATATATATATATATATACATACAATGGAGATGTAAGCAAAATTTTACTAAAATATAGTAAAGGTCAATATAAGCCTTCTAATTAAATTATTATTACTGTGTTTTGGTAGTGACATGTTTGGAGAGAGGACAAATATTCCAAAACTTTCTGAAAATACAATATGAGAATGAACGGCACAATTATTAGAAATGTGTACCTTGGATATTATACCATTTGCATGCATACACATTTTTTTCAAGACGTTTCCGACTTTGTCTTTGGACCAATTCTATTGAATAGCCTATATAAATATAGATATGACATCCCATTTTGGTGACCGTAACAAATTAAGTACAAATGTGATTTTATATACACAGAAAGCATATTAAATTCAAGCGTCTGCTTTAATGTTTCAAATTACTTTTGTCAAAATGTCAAAACGTGGGTGAAATATTGTTTCATCATCACTCGCGTAACAGATATATTTATGCGAAAATTAAACAACAAACTTATTCTGACATGTACTTGTTAAAACATATAAAAGAATAAGTGATCATATTATATTTTAAAACATCTTGCTGACAAAAGGCAAAACCTGCTTGTTTGAAGGATAGTAGCAAAATGGGTAAAGATTTGAAGTTACAAATAATTAGAATTTTAGAGCTAAAATCTAATCCTTAAATTAAGTCACTTAATGTCATCTAATGACTCTTGTTGTAACTATGCCTAACAAGAAATGTGTATTATGAAATATTGTTACACCAAATTACTTTGATTTTCTGTAAATCATGGTAACAATGTATAATCATTATTTTGTGCTTATAAAACCCCTACAACAAATAAAACCCTAAATATATATAGATTAGGTTAGAGATCACAAATATATATATGCATGAATTAATCATTCATAATAACACCAGTAACGTGCAATAAGAAAACTAATAGGGTCAATATTGTTTTCATGCTGACTTAACCCTACATATGAGCAACTATGTGAGATGCTTGCTTTAGCAAATATCACTAACGATCAATCAGTTGTTGGTAAGATTTACAGGTGCACTATTTACAGATCCTGAAATGTAAATTAATTTAAATGAAGAACGCTTGCAGATTAATCTACAGTCCAACAGTGATTAAAGGGTTATAGTTCACCCAAAAATTAAAATTAGCCCATAAATTACTCACCCTCAAGTCATCCTAGGTGTATATGACTTTCTTCTTTCAGACGAATCCAGTCAGAAGTATATTAGCAGGTGTTGCAGTGCATCAGTCCAAAAGAAGTGAAATAAAAAGCCCCTATCCATTAAAAAAAAGTGTCTCACACGGCTCAGGGGGGTGAACAAAGGCCTTTTGTAGCGAATCGATGCGTTTTTGTAAGAAAAATATCCATATTCAAAACGTAATAATCACTTTAATGTAGCTTGCGCTCACTGTTGCACACTGGAAGCAGTTCCGGGTGGATGACGTATGAGGTCAGCGCTGCACATGCGCCGCTCAGAAGTGATGCACGCGGAAGCGCAGCAGAGAGATCAAAACAAAACAACGGTCACTAATTAGAAGTACAAAAGGAGGATTTGTAAAGAAGAATGTCGGAGGATTTCGATATAAGCCAAGAGAAGACTTTGCTTCCTTTAGGTTAGGCCTAAGGCCTAAGGCCTTTGTTCACCCCCTGTAACCGTGTGAGATGATTTTTTTTAATGGATGGGTGCTTTTTATTTAACTTCTTTTGGATGGACGCATGGAACACCCGCTGAGTGCCATGAAACAACTTGAAAGATCAAAGACAATTTT